CTCTGCCAGGATCCGTGTCTACCTCCACGCCCACCTCCCTGCCCACCTGTCTGATTACCGAGTCACACGCCTACCCACCTACATAGCTACTTGCCCACCTATCCAATCGCGTACAAACCACTCTCCTGGCTCCCCACCCTTCTAACCACTCACCCACCCATCCACCCACCTCGCCCACCTATCCAATCACCTACCTACCCAATCCCCTATTTTAGCCACCCATCTACCCCCCCACTCGTGCCTGGTCGCCGTAGTGGCGGGGCTATCGCGCTGTGGAGAGCAAAGGTTGCTTGTCAAATGCAATGACAAAGATCCCTCGTATAGCCTTTAACAGACTGTTGGGGCAAGTGCTGTTCGTAGCGAATAGCAGCGGCTCATGAAGGCCGGCACGGAGGGGGGTTGATGGCCACCACCACGCCCCGACCGCCTTCGTCTGCCCAGTGTAGATATTTACAACACACCACACCTGGTACTAATTTAAGGCTGAATCGACCTAGGAGAGTCCCAGGACCTGTTCAGGTAATCGTTACCGGTGTTGACCGTGAGCGGAAATCGAACTCTGGTCGCCAGGTTCGTAGCACACTACACTCACCGCTGCGCCACCGCTCCCAGCACACACGCACACACATGTACACACACACACACACCCACGTACACACACACACACACCCACGTACACACACACACCCACGTACACACACCCACACACATGTACACACACCCACACACATGTACACACACCCACACACCCACACACACACCCACACACATACACACACCCGCACACATGTACACACACCCGCACACATGTACACACACCCACACACACGTACACACAGCCACACACCTGCACACCCACACATGTACACACCCACACACGTACACACCCACACACGTACACACACACCTGCACACAGGTGCACACAGGTGCACACAGGTGTGTGTGCAGGTGGGGGTGGGGGGATGGTGGCGGTTTGGGGGGGCGGGGAGTGGCGGTTACATCATGGAAACTGCACGCTTGTCCGTGTGTGTGTGTGTCCGTGCGTGTGTGTGTGTCTGTGCGTGTGTGTGTGTCCGTGTGTGTGTCCGTGCGTGTGTGTGTCCGTGTGTGTGTGTGTGTCCGTGCGTGTGTGTGTGTCCGTGCGTGTGCGAAGTACTGAAGGCGATCTGGAGTCTGAGACCAGGAAAGGCACCGGGTAGAGACGATCTCCCAAGCGAAATGCTGAGGGAGGGTGGCGTTTGTGCACAGACTGCCCTATATGACATCATAACAACAATCTGGACCACTGGACGGGTTCTGCAAGATTGGAAGGATGCCCTGGTGGTCCCCCTCTTTAAGAAGGGGGACTGCACAGACTGTAACAACTACAGGGGCATCTCACTCTTCAGTGTGCCGGGAAAGCTCCGGGCAAGGATTATTCAACATCGCCTTGCTAGGCACGCTGAGGAGAGGCTTGCAGAGCCCCAATGCGGTTTCAGGAAAGGGCGGTCCTGCACAGATGCCATATTTTCTGTCCGTCTGCTACAGCAGAGGTGTAGGGAATTCCAACAAGACCTACATCTCTGCTTTATTGACCTGGTCAAGGCCTATGATACCATCAGTAGGCCTGGGCTCTGAGTTGTTCTTCGTGCTTTTGGAGTCCCTGACCCTCTGCTCACGATCATTAAGGACCTTCATGATGGTGAGCGGGCCCGGGTAAAACTACGTGGCCGGGAGTCGGAACCATTCCCTGTACACCTTGGGGTGAGACAGGGATGTCCTCTGGCTCCCACATTATTTAACATCTATTTTGACCACGTAGTTCGTGAAGCCTTCAATAGCGGTACCGGGGGAATCTCCATATGGTACAGATATAATGGGAGGCTGATCGATGCCCGGGTGCGGTCAAGGGATGGCTCTCTATTGCTCAACCACGTTATGTATGCCGATGATTTGGTAATAGCTGCTCATTCAGAGGAGGAGTTGGAGACGCTGCTGCTGGGACTGGAGCATGCCACTAAGAGATGGGGCCTTACCATCAGCCCCACCAAAACTAAGCACCTGCCTGGGTATTTTGTACCATCGGACACTCCACCCCCACAACTCCCAATCAGTGATGGGGCAGTTGTGGAAAGAGTGGAGAGTTTCCCATACCTGGGCAGTGTGCTTATGACCGGCTCCAGTTTAACAGCAGAGGTCTCACTCAGAATCAGTCGAGCGGCAATATCTTTTAATCGGTTGCGTAACGCTGTATGGAAGCTACCTGGTCTGTCGCTCCGCACTAAGCTTCAGGTCTTCTCGGCCACAGTCATTCTCTCCCTTCTCTACGCTTGCGAAACGTGGACTCCACTAATGGAACATCTTTGCCTGTTAGAAACATTTAGGCTCGTCTGCCTACGATCCATCCTGGGTTTAACCAGGCTGGATTGTGTGAGGAGCTCACAAATTCTTGAAAGATCTGGGCAAGGTCCCATTGTTGAGCTCCTCCAGCAGGCAAGGCTGCGTTGGCTGGGTCATGTAGCCCACATGCCCAGCCACCGCATGCCGAAACAGCTTTTGTTCGGCCGGATCGAGGGGGCTAAACGGGCGTGGCACGGGCTAGAGAAGTGATGGAGTGATGTGGTACAGGAGGACGTGGAACTGAGTGGACTTGCCGATGACTGGTACCAGCGGTGTCAAGATCGGCCTCTGTGGAGGAGGCTCGTGAAGGACGCTATTGGGCAGTTGGAGGCAGTCGCCCTCCAACAATAACGGAGGGCGGAGGAGCGACGCTCACAACAACGAGCGGAGCGCCGGGTGGCTAAAGCACAGCAGGTTGGCACAGTAGGGGGCACAGGTGGTGCATCAGCCAGTCATCTCAGTCGACCCGTGGCACCTGGGTCTGCCCCGTGACCTGCCAGCGGGCGCTCGACACTTCACGTGGCCTCATGGTGCACATGGCCTGGCACAAGCGTCGTGGTGACGTTGCCGCCACTTAGTGGTGAATGGCGGTTGTTGTTTTGTCTGTGTGTCCATGTGTGTGTGTATGTATTTGGGGAGCGGTGGCACAATGGTTAGCACACTGCTCTACTAACCCGGCGGTACAAGTTCGATTCCTGCTCACGGCCAACACCAGTAGCGACTACCTGAACCGGTCCTGGGCCTCCCCTAGGTTGACTCTGCCTCAAATGAGTACCTGGCGCGGTGTGTAAACATCACCACGAGGGAGACGAAGGCAGCTGGGCGTGGTGCTGGCCATCCACCCCCTCGTGTGCCGTGCCGGCCTTCGTAGGTGCTCGCTAACAGCACTTGTCCCAACAGGCTGTTGAAGGCTGTGTGCGCGAGTATGTACGTTTGTGTGTACTTGTGTGTGTACCTGTGTGTGTGCAGGTATGTGTGTGTGTGCGTGTGTGTGTGCAGGTATGTACGTGTGTGTGTACGTGTACGTGTGTTTATGTACGTGTGTGTGTGTATGTACATGTGTACGCGTGCGTGCGTGTACGTGTGTGCGTGTACGTGTGTGCGCGTGCGTGCGTGTATGTGTGTACGCGTGCGTACGTGTACGTGTGTACGCGTGCGTGTGTGTATGTACATGTGTGTGTGTGTAAATGTGTGTGTGCGTGTGTGTATGTACGTGTGTAAATGTGTGTGTGCGTGTGTGTGTGTACCTGTGGGTGTATGTACATGTGTGTGCGTGTGTGTATGTACACGTGTGCATGTACATGTGTGTATGTGTGTATGTACACGTGTGTATGTACATGTGTATGTGTATGTACATGTGTGTATGTACATGTGTGTATGTGTGTACGTGTGTGTGTGTATGTACATTTGTGTGTGTGTATGTGTGTGTACCTGTGTGTGTGTATGTACATGTGTATAAACATATGTGTGCGTGTGTTTATGTACACGTGTGTGTACGTACGTGTGTGTTTTTCGTACGTGTGTGTACGTACGTGTGTGTGTGTACGTACGTGTATGTGTACGTACGTGTGTATGTGTGCATGCACGCATCTCCAATTTCCTTGCCACTGGTTCGGTCCGCGCCGGTTTTGCCTCCCCAGCCACAGAGGCATCGCATATCACAGCCTGAGTGGGGGGGGCGTCGGGGGGGAGTTGAACCAAACGCCCCCGCCCAACCCCCATGTGTCTCTGCACGCGGGTGGCCCTGTGTCTCTGTTTCTCTGTGGCCCCGTGTCTCTGTGTCTCTGTGGTACCGTGTCTCTGTGTCTCTGTGGCCCCCTATCTCTGTGGCCCCGTGTCTCTGTGGCCCCGTGTATGTGTCTCTGTGGTACCGTGTATCTGTGTCTCTGTGGTACCGTGTCTCTGTGTTCCTGTGGCCCCGTGTATCTGTGTCTCTGTGTCTCTGTGGCCCCGTGTCTCTGTGTCTCTGTAGTACCGTGTCTCTGTGTCCCTGTGGCCCCGTGTATCTGTGTCTCTGTGTCTCTGTGGCCCCGTGTCTCTATGGCCCCGTGTATCTGTGTCTCTGTGGCCCCGTGTCTCTGTGTCTCTGTAGTACCGTGTCTCTGTGTCTCTGTGGCCCCGTGTCTCTGTGGCCCAGTGTCTCTGTGTCTCTGTGGTACCGTTTCTCTGTGTCTCTGTGGTACCGTGTCTCTGTGGCCCTGTGTCTCTGTGTCTCCATGTCCCCTCTGTCCCGTGTCTCCATGTCTTTATGTTCCTGGCACCGCGAGAGATGGCGATGGCTCACGAATGCTTCATCCAGTAGTGGATTGATCCTAGCTGTCAATCATCCTCCTGCTGGTTATGTGGTGGAGGGGGGGTTGACTCGGCCTATCATCCATTGTTCCCTCTGTGGGTCGATAAAACGAGCATCACTTCGTGGAGAAGATTGGCAACAACAGTGTTGTCCTTTGAATCAACTCGCCTCCACCATAGAAATGTGGAATTTCCAGTCATGACTGTAACCAGGAGATGGCCTGGCAAGTGGTTGATAGGTTAATGACGACGATGTTGTTGCTCGTGTTCTGACCGTAGCGTTTAACTCACTCCATTCTCCCCCCCCCCACTCCTTCCACCCCCCCAGGGCCGCTGCGCTCGCCTCACGGGGCCCGACGATGGCCGCTCGCCCCTTGGCCGCCGAAGTCCCCCGCGGCTAGCGGCCGCGTCACTCACCCGGCGTCGTTTCGCCACCGACTCCTGCTGCACCTCCTGCTCCTTTTGTGGCCTCATCAGCAGCAGCAGGAGCCAAAGGGGGAGCAGCCAGGGGGGAGCAGATAGGGGGAGCAGCAGGACGGAGGAGACGGGAGGAGGAGGAGGGGGGGGAGGAGGAGGAGGAGGGGAGGGGTGAGCGGGGGGGAGCAGGAGGGAGTAGAAGGGAGCAGGAGGAAGTAGGGTGGAAGAGCAGCAGCTGCCAGCCCAGTTAGCCGCAGTTGGCAAATCCATCCCACATCTACCTCGACCACCACTGACTACGACTAGCCGGCGACGTGAGGCTGTGATAGGGAACGGGACGACGAGAGATCTACGGGAGATCGTCGATCGCTGGGGGCGGGCGACGCGACGCCGGCCGATATGGCGGACGGGAACAGCACCACCGTGGACTTCCTGCCGAAGGGCGGGGGGGCGGCGCCGGGGCCACCGGGGGGGGGCCCCTTTGGCTGTTCGCTGCAGGAGCTACGCGACCTCATGGAGGTGCGCGGCACGGATGCCATAGCCAAGGTGGCGGAGGCCTACGGCGGCGTACACGGCCTGTGCCACAGACTCGGCACCTCGCCCACCGACGGTGAGCTGGGGGGGGGGGGCGGGCAGCGAGGGGAAGGGCGCGGGCGGGCCTGGGCGTACACGGGGGTGGGTGGGTGGGTGCGTGCTCGGCGTGTTGCGTGTAAAACGTGCGTGCGCACGCGTGCATGCAAACGTGCGTGCGTGCATCCGGATGCTGCGCATGCGGACTTGCGCATGCGTGCGCATGCCGTACGTGCGCGTACTTGTGTGCGTGCGTGTTGCGCATACACCTGCGCGCGTGTACATGGGTGCGCGTGCGTGCGTGCGTTCGTGCGTGGGCAGGGCTGAGTGGGAGCCAGGCGGACCTGGAGCAGCGGCGTGTGGTGTTCGGAGCGAACCTCATCCCCCCCAAGAAGCCCAAGTCGTTCCTGGCCCTCGTGTGGGAGGCGCTGCAAGACGTGACGCTCATCATCTTAGAGGTGGCGGCCCTCGTGTCGCTGGGACTCTCCTTCTACCACCCGCCCGAGGGCAACGACGAGTGTGAGGGGGGGTACACATGGGAGACACGGGGACGCGGGGGAGACACGGGGAAGCGGGGGAGACACGGGGACGCAGGGGAGACACGGGGACGCGGGGGAGACACGGGGATGCGGGGGAGACACGGGGGGGGTCATACGGGGGAGACACGGGGACACTCGGAGGAGACACGGGGACGCGGGGGAGACACGTGGGGACACGTGCACTCGGATAGAGATGTGATACCACCTGACCAATAACGCAGTAAAAGTTCTTAACCTGAGTACGCTCCCTCAGGTTAAGAACCAGGCCACAGTCTACATTCATGTTTTGTTTTTTTATTATTTTTATTTTATTTTTTATTAACTTTCATTTTACGATCCACGTGACTTTACCGAAAGAACCAAAGAATATTAATTCCTGCAGTCACGAAAGTTTTAAGTCAAAATTTAATGCAGTAAAAGGCGCAGTAAAGTAGCTGCCAGCACGGGATGGGACACAGGGCAGTGGGGTGGAGGGACACGGATGGGGGGGGGGGGGGGCGGGGGGATGCTATGGTGTCATGGTGTCACTGCGACTACTATGGGGACTCGGAGAGATTGGGACGTGGAGACCTGGGGATGCGGGGACATAAGGACACGGGGAGAAACGCAGGGACGAGGGGAGACGTAAGGGGAGATGGGAGTGGGAGGGGAGACGGGAGGGGTGACGGGAGGGGGGAGTGGGTGACAGGAGGGGTGACGGGAGGGGAGGGGGGAGTGGGTGACAGGAGGGGTGACGGGAGGGGACAGGAACGAGGGGAGACGTTTGAAGGCGGCGGTGGCTTTGAAGTGGCAGCTGCAGTAAAGGGAGGCGCCGAGTCGGCCGTTAGCACACGCGGAGAGCTCTGGACGGGGACGGGGCCATGACGGGGGTGGGTACGGCTCTGTTAATAACCGTGGTGGTGGTGGTGGTGTGTGATTGTGTCCGTGTGTTTGTCTGTGTATGTCCTTGTTTCCGTGTGTCCCCTTGTGTCTCGGTGCCTCCCCATGTCTCCCCCCATGTCTCCCCCTGGGCGTACCCCCGTGTGTGTCCTCACCTTCCCCGTGTCACCCTGTCCCCGTGTCCCCCCCGTTCCCGTGCGTGTCCCCCCGTCCCCATGTCTCCCCTTTTCTCCCCGTCCCCGTGTCCCCGTGCGCAGCGTGCGGTAATGCGGCGGGCAGCGGCGGCGAGGAGGGCGAGGCGGAGGCCGGCTGGATCGAAGGAGCGGCCATCCTCCTCTCCGTCATCGTCGTGGTGCTTGTCACGGCCTTCAACGACTGGAGCAAGGAGCGACAGTTCCGAGGCCTGCAGAACCGCATCGAGCAGGAGCAGAAGTTCACCGTCATCCGCCAGGGCCAGGTCATCCAGATCCCCGTGGCCGACATCGTGGTGGGGGATGTGGCACAGGTCAAGTACGGTGAGAGGGGGGGGGGTGTAGGGTTGGGAGGGTGCGGCGGTCACTTCACCACCGCAGTCACCAACCACCACCACCACCACCATCATCATCATCAACACAACCATCATCATCATCACCACCACCAACATCATTGCTACCATCACCACCACTATCACTACTACCACCATCACCTTCACCACCACCCTCGCCACCACCATTGTCATTGCTACTAACACCATCACCACCAACATAATTTCTACTATTCATCGTCACCATCGCAACCATCACAAAAACCGCCACCATCGCCACTACCATCAACCATGACCATCGTCATCGCTACTCCTACGACCACGATCTGGACATCTGTGAAAAAGAGCTTAATAGCTCATGGTTTTTCATCCAGCCAAAATAAAGATAAACATTATGATATTGATTTTTATCATCACCACCACCACCACCACCATCGCAGCCACCACCATCGCAGCCACCACCATCGCTGCCACCACCATCGCAACTGCCACCACCATCGCAATCACTACGACCACCACCAATACAGCCACCATGATCATTACCACCACCATTGCCACCACCATCGTTGCTACCACCATCCACACCATCATTGGCACCAATACCATTATCACCACCAACACCACCATCATCATCGCTACCAACACCATCGCCATAGCGACCACCACCATCATCTCATTGATGCCACCACTAACGTTACCTCCCTCTTCTTCCCACTCCGGTGCTATACCTGTTGACGCGGTTGCTAGGCGACCTGCTCCCGGCTGACGGCGTTGTCATCCAGAGCAACGACTTGAAGATCGATGAGAGCTCTCTCACCGGGGAGTCGGACCACGTGCGCAAGGCCGTCGATCGCGACCCCATGCTGCTCTCCGGTATGCACACCCACACGGAGACCAGCACTGGCGAGACTCGGACACACAGACACCCACACAACAACAACCGCCATTCGCCATAAGTGGCAGTGACGTCACCACGACGCTTGTGCCAGGCCATGTGCACCTTGAGGCCACGTGAAGTGTCGAACGCCCGCTGGCAGGAGGTCATGGGGCAGACCCAGGTGCCACGGGTCGACTGACTGAAATGACCGAGATGGCTGGCTGATGCACCACCTGTGCCCCCTACTGTGCCAACTTGCTGTGCTTTAGCCACCCGGCGCTCCGCTCATTGTTTTGAGCGTCGCTCCTCCGCCTTCCGTTGTTGTTGGAGGGCGACTGCCTCCAACTGCCCAGTAGCGTCTTTCACGAGCCTCCTCCACAGAGGCCGATCTTGACACCGCTGGTACCAGTCATCGGCAAGTCCACTCACCTAAACATCCTCCTGTACCACATTACTCCATCTCTTCTCTAGCCCGTGCCACGTCCATTTAGCCCCCTCTATCCGGCTGAACAAAAGCTGTTCAGGCATGCTGTGGCTGGGCATGCGGGCTACATGACCCAGCCAACGCAGCCTTGCCTGCCGGAGGAGGTCACCGATGGGACTTTGTCCAGATCTCTCAAGGATTTGTGAGCTCCTTACACAATCCAGCCTGGTTAAACCCAGGATGGATCGTAGGCAGGCCAGTAAAGATGCTCCATTAGGGGGGTCCACGTTTCACAAGCATAAAGAAGGGAGGGAATGACCGTTGGCAAGAAGACCTGTAGCTTTGTGCGGAGCAACAGACCAGGTAGCTTCCACACAGCGTTACGCAACAATGCCGCTCGACTGACTCGGAGTGAGACCTCTGCTGTCAAACCAGAGCCGGTCATGAGCACACTGCCCAGGTATGGGAAACTCTCCAATTTCTCCACAACTGCCCCATCGCCAATTGGAAGTTGTGGGGGTGGAGTGTCCAATGGTACAAAATACTCAGGCAGGTGCTTCGCTTTGGTGAGACTGATGGTAAGGCCCCACCTCTTAGTGGCACGCTCCAGGTTCAGCAGCAGCGCCTCCAACTCCTCCTCTGAGTGAGCGGCAATTACCAGATCAGCATACATAACGTGGTTGAGCAATAGGGAGCCATCCTTTGACCGCACCCGGGCATCGATCAGCCTCCCATTGTATGTGTACCAGATGGAAATTCCTCCGTTACAACCATCAAAGGTTTCACGAACTACGTGGTCGAATAAGATGTTAAGTAATGTGGGAGCCAGAGGACATCCCTGTCGCACCCCAAAGGGAACAGGGAATGGCTCCGACTCCCGGCCACGTAGTTTTTAGCCGGGCCCGCTCACGATCATTAAGGAAGGTCCTTAATGATCGTGAGCAGAGGGTCAGGGACTCCGAAAGCATGAAGAATAACCCAGAGCCCAGGCCTACTAATGGTATCATAGGCCTTGACCAGGTCAAAAAAGCAGAGATGTAGGTCCTGTTGGAATTCCCTACACCTCTGCTGTAGCAGACGGACAGAAAATATGGCATCTGTGCAGGACCGTCCTTTCCTGAAACCGCATTGGGGCTCCGCAAGCCTCTCCTCGGCGTGCCTGGCAAGGCGATGTTGAATAATCCTTACCAGGACCTTTCCCGGCACACTGAGGAACGAAATACCCATGTAGTTAGTCTGTGCGGTCCCCCTTCTTAAAGAGGGGGACCACCAAGGCATCCTTCCAATCCTGCGGAACTCATACAATGGTCTAGACTGTTGTTATGATGTCATGTAGGGCAGTCTGTGCACAAACGCCACCCTCCCTCAGTATTTCGCTTGGGAGATCGTCTCTACCCGGTGCCTTTCCTGGTCTCAGACTCTGGATCGCCTTTAGTAATTCCTCAACAAATGGCACCTCAGCCAGCCACTCACAGGGGGAGACTTCTTCAAATATTTGAGACACTGCAGCCTCAGCAGGGTCATCCCCACTTTGTCCCATGATGTCTTCCATGCCGAGGGATTTCCCCTGCCCCAGGACTTAACAGAAATGCTCAGCAAATCTGCAAACCTGTTCCTGGGGGTCGGATATTGGAACACCGTTTTTTCCCCTAATGATGGTAATAGATGTGGTGCTGCAGGTTACTTTTTTGATGTAGTTAAATAGAGATTTGTGATCGTGGGCCATTGAGGCAGACTCCATCTTCTCAGCAACCCGCAACCACCACCTATCCTTGCAGTCCCTCATGGCTCTCCGCATCTCCGAGTGAAGGCTGCAGTAAACCTCCTCATTCTCTGACATTGGATGCTGTAGACCATGCGAGTGGGCCTGTCACTTTTTTTCAGCCAGCCTGAACACCTCCGTCAGCCAGTGTCTCTGGGGAGGTCTGGACAGTGTACCCAAAGCAGCCATTGCAGCTGCATGAGCCACAGTCCTAAAACTCGCCCATTTCCCCTCGACATTTGGAGGAGTGGGGGGACGATGTCAACCCCAGCCGCAAGCAATGATTCAATTCTCGCTTGCAACTTTCATCAGCTAGCTGAGACCAGGCCACCTTGGTTTTAAATGGGGTCCTGGGTGTACACCCACCACCGGAGTGGAAGAATGGCAGGCGCATCTTACAGATGACAAGTCTATGGTCAGTGGGCAGATGAGCTCCACGGTAGGTCCTGGTGTCAAGGACTTGGACCCGCATTCGCTGTTCCGTCACTACGTAGTCCAGCATACGTTCTCGCTTGGACCCGGCATGCATCCATGATGTGGTGTCGATGCGCCGATTCCGGAACAGCATGTTACAGGCCCATGGGCTACATAAAAATCTTGCAACCTCCTACCATTGGTATTGAGCTGATCTGGCCCATCATGACCAACTCGGGCATTGAAGTCGCCCAACAGGATGACTCTATCCCGAGGGGCCACTTTAGCTAGCACCTGTGACAGGAGGTCATTAAAGCCATCTGCTCATCAGCCTTGCCTGCATCCCTCCACGTATGTTTGTCTTCGGTAGGGGCATAAGTAACCACAACCAGCACTCCTCGATTCCGGTTGAAGGGAAGGCGAGCCCAAAGTAGTCTGGGGCTTACCGCTTCCCACACCTCACCGCCCTGCTCCCACGCCCCCTTCACTCAAACACACAAACACCCACACACGCACACAGAGATCTGCACTGAGACCCGCACAGGGACCCGTAGACTCACACTGACCTCTTCATAGTTTTCATAGTTTCATTTATTTGGTATAGCCCTGTGAGCCATTCGGCTCTTGAATCGGGTGCAACCGCAGCAAACAAAAAAACAAAAACATGAAGAAGAAAACATCTTAAAGTGACTACGTGACTGTGCAAACAGAAAATCCAGGAAAAAAACATTAAAATATTCCTGAAATAGCACCGTACACCAACGCTGTGTGCAAAAATCCCAGCGGGATGCAAGTCAAACAACAACAACAATGCAACTTAGATTAAGGCCATCAGTCTAACTCCGTACTACAATAAACAAAAACATGGACAAACCAAAAAACTTTTAGAAATCACCAAAATAAAGCCATAAATGCAATGTAACAGTGATCATAGGAACTGTGACCGATTTTTTTACAATAAACTACATAAATAATATGTAACACCAAACCCTAGAGCCACAGCTGGCTGCATGAGTCACTCCACAAACAACAGGAGCATCAGTCAGAGTATCACATTTTTCAATGCAACTTTAAGATCAGCGCACTAAATCAAAATACAGATAATACTTTGCAGCGGTCATCCGGAGTGAAACATTTTATTTTATTTTAGGCCACTGAATAGCAGTGGCAGCTAGGGGTGGACAACTCCTCTAGAGCAGTTTTGAGTGAAGGTCTCATAGGTAGTGATTCAAGTTGCAGTTTATTGGCAATAGCATTCCAGACCCTGGGGGCATCAATAGCAAAGGCCCTTCCTCCGGTTTTTGTACGGCAATAGGGAATGTGAAGCTGGTAGATGAGCGAAGACCTGAGGTCAAATTTGTTCTTTGAAACAGAGAGGAGATCCAGCAGGTAGCCTACGGATTTTTTTGTAAATACATCGTGAATAAATAAAATCTGGTGTACAAGCCGTCGAACATTAACAGATGTTAAGTTTAACCCAATGTAGAGATCACAGTGGTGAGTCCTATATGGGCAGTTCAATGCAAATCTTAAGGCCGAGTGATAGATGGAATCAAGCTTCTTCAGTACAGTACTTGGGGCTGATTTATACACGATATCACAGTAATCAAGTAGAGGCAGTATGGTAGCTTTTATCAATTCCAAACGAAACATAGGGGGGAAGCAGTGCTTGAGTCTTTACATTTGTACGCATCCAGGGGCGGAGCCAGGGGGGTGACAGGGTAGACAATTGTCACCCCCGAAACATTCTGCGTATAAGTGTACAACATTCGGTCTGGTGGACTCCGTGCAACTGCATTGTCAGAGCGTGTCGCCAACCGATGGCGTCTAGTTCAACAGCCTGACTCTCTAATCATTCTTGAAATTACAATTTGTTTGAATGTCACCCCGGGCTGAAAATCCTGGCTCCGCCTCTGTACGCGTCGTGTTGACTGGGACGTGCCGAGCGCTCCTCGCGCCCGGCGGGGCTGGGCGAGTGCTGCCCCCTGGTGTGCGTGCGACGTCACCTGACGTGTCATGACCTCGGAGGTTGCTCCTCGGTGTCCAGCCCAAGGTGGACAAGGTAACAAGGTAACGGTGACTGCCGGGCCCCGCAGGCACGCACGTGATGGAGGGGTCGGGCAAGATGCTGGTGTCGGCCGTTGGCGTCAACTCCCAGACTGGCATCATATTCACGCTGCTGGGCGCCAGCGAGGAGGAGGGCAAGAGCAGGGAGAAGGACAAGAAGGGTGGGCACGGGGGGCGGGGGGGGCACCATGCACGCCTCCACTACACACCACTACACACCACTATACTCCACTATACACCACTACACACTACTATATACCACTACACACCACTATACTCCACTATACACCACTACACACCACTACACACCACTATACTCCACTACACAGCACTATACTTCACTACACACCACTGCACACCACTATACTCCACTATACACCACTATACACCACTATACTCCACTACACAGCACTATAATTCACTACACACCACTGCACACCACTACACACCACTATACACCACTACACACCACTACACACCACTATACTCCACTACACAGCACTATACTTCACTACACACCACTGCACACCACTACACACCACTATACTCCACTATACACCACTACACACGACTACACACGACTACACACCACTACACACCACTACACACCACTATACTCCACTACACACCACTACACATGACTATACACCACTATACACCACTACACACCACTACACACCACTACACAACACTATACTCCACTACACACCACTACATACCACTACACACCACTACACACCACTATACTCTACTACACACCACTACACACCACTATACTCCACGACACACCACGACACACCACTACACAGCATTACACACCATTACACACCACTACACATGACTATACACCACTACACACCACTACACACCACTACACACCACTACACACCACTACACACCACTTTACTCCACTACACACCACTACACACCACTACACACCACTATACACCACTACACACCACTACACTCCACTATACTCCACTACACACCACTACACACCACTACACACCACTATACACCACTACACACCACTATAAACCACTTGACACCAGTACACACCACTACACACCACTACACACCACTATACAACACTACACACCACTACACATGACTATACACCACTATACACCACTACACACCACTACACACCACTATACACCACTATACACCACTACACACCACTACACACCACTATACTCCACTACACACCACTATACTCCACTACACACCACTACACACCACTACACACCACTACACACCACTACACACCACTATGCTCCACTACACAACAATACACACCACTATACTCCACTACACACCACTACACACCACTACACACCACTACACACCACTATACACCACTACACACCACTACACACCACTACACACCACTATACTCCACTACACACCACTATAAACCACTTGACACCACTACACACCACTACACACCACTATACACCACTATACACCACTTGACACCACTACACACCACTACACACCACTATACACCACTATACACCACTACACATGACTATACACCACTATACACCACTACACACCACTATACACCACTACACACCACTACACACCACTACACACCACTATACACCACTACACACCACTATACTCCACTACACACCACTACACACCACTATACTCGACTACACACCACTACACTCCACTATATTCCACTACACTCCACTATATTCCACTACACACCACTACACACCACTACACACCACTACACACCACTATACACCACTACACACCACTATACACCACTACACACCACTAAACTCCACTATACTCCACTACAAACCACTACACACCACTACACACCACTATACACCACTATACACCACTACACACCACTACACACCACTATACTCCACTACACACCACTATACTCCACTACACACCACTACACACCACTACACACCACTACACACCACTACACACTGCTATACACCACTATACACCACTACACACCACTATACTCCACTACACAGCACTATAATTCACTACACACCACTGCACACCACTACACACCACTATACACCACTACACACCACTACACACCACTATACTCCACTACACAGCACTATACTTCACTACACACCACTGCACACCACTACACACCACTATACTCCACTATACACCACTACACACGACTACACACGACTACACACCACTACACACCACTACACACCACTATACTCCACTACACACCACTACACATGACTATACACCACTATACACCACTACACACCACTATACACCACTACACACCACTACACACCACTACACACCACTTTACTCCACTACACACCACTACACACCACTATACACCACTACACACCACTACACTCCACTACACTCCACTACACACCACTACACACCACTACACACCACTACACACCACTATACACCACTACACACCACTATAAACCACTTGACACCAGTACACACCACTACACACAACTATACACCACTACACACTACTACACATGACTATACACCACTATACACCACTACACACCACTACACACCACTATACACCACTACACACCACTACACACCACTATACTCCACTACACACCACTATACTCCACTACACACCACTACACACCACTACACACCACTATGCTCCACTACACACGACTACACACCACTACACACCACTACACACCACTATACTCCACTACACACCACTACACATGACTATACACCACTATACACCACTACACACCACTACACACCACTATACTCCACTACACACCACTACACACCACTACACACCACTATACTCTACTACACACCACTACACACCACTATACTCCACGACACACCACTACACACCATTACACACCACTACAAACCACTACACATGACTATACACCACTATACACCACTACACACCACTATACTCCACTATACACCACTACACACCACTATACACCACTACACACCACTACACACCACTACACACCACTTTACTCCACTACACACCACTACACACCACTATACACCACTACACACCACTACACTCCACTACACTCCACTACACACCACTACACACCACTATACACCACTACACACCACTATAAACCACTTGACACCAGTACACACCACTACACACCACTATACACCACTACACACTACTACACATGACTATACACCACTACACACCACTACACACCACTATACACCACTATACACCACTACACACCACTACACACCACTATACTCCACTACACACCACTATACTCCACTACACACCACTACACACCACTACACACCACTACACACCACTACACACCACTACACACCACTATGCTCCACTACACAACACTACACACCACTATACTCCACTACACACCACTACACACCACTACACACCACTATACACCACTACACACCACTACACACCACTATACACCACTATACTCCACTACACACCACTACACACCACTATACTCCACTACACACCACTACACACCACTACACACCACTACACTCCACTACACACCACTACACACCACTACACACCACTATACTCCACTACACACCACTATAAACCACTTGACACCACTACACACCACTACACACCACTACACACCACTACACATGACTATACACCACTACACACCACTACACACCACTACACACCACTTGACACCACTACACACCACTACACACCACTATACACCACGATACACCATTATACACCACTACACATGACTATACACCACTATACACCACTACACACGACTACACACCACTATATACCACTATACACCACTATACACCACTACACACCACTATACACCACTATACACCACTACACACCACTATACTCCACTACACACCACTACACACCACTATACTCGACTACACACCACTACACTCCACTATATTCCACTACACACCACTACACACCACTACACACCACTACACACCACTATACACCACTACACACCACTAAACTCCACTATACTCCACTACAAACCACTACACACCACTACACACCACTACACACCACTATACACCACTACACACCACTACACACCACTATACTCCACTACACACCACTATACTCCACTACACACCACTACACACCACTACACACCACTACACACCACTACACACCACTATACACCACTACACACCACTACACACCACTATACACCACTATACACCACTACACACGACTACACACCACTATACACCACTACACACCACTATAAACCACTTGACACCACTACACACCACTACACAACACTACACAACCACTACACACCACTACACACCGTTACACACCGTTACACATGACTACACACCACTAAATACCACACCACAATCCACCACACCACTAACCATCACACCACTACACACCACTATACATAGGAGCACTGCACATGGCACCACTACACACCGCATCTAGCCTGGCAAAACCGTTGACATCACCTCCACTTAGTGGTAAACAGCGGTTGTGGGCACGTGTATGGGGGTTCATGTGTGCATGCCTATGTAGGATGCTACCATGATCCCCACACATCCTCCCACCCTCTCTCCTCTTGACCTCGATCTTCCATGTCCTAATCCTCTCTTCCAGGCAAGAAGCAGGATGCATCAGCCGCAGCGGCCGAGGCAGGCCGCATCAAAGGTACACACCCCTGTAGCCCAAACATACTGCCAAGTTCTGGTAGCGAGCAGCACCCATAAGAGGCCGGCACGGCACACAAGGGGCTGGATGGCCAGCACCACACCCGACCGCCTTTGTCTCCCCAGTCGCGATGTTTACACACTGCACCGGGGACACATTTTAGGCTGAGTCGACCTTGGTGAGGCCCAGGACCAGTTCAGATAATCGTCACTGGTGTTGGCCGTGAGCGGGATTCGAGCTTTGGTTGGGGGTTTGTAGCGCAACGCGTTTACCGCTATACTGCCACTTCCCAGTAACATTCCAACCAGCATCACGGTAACTCACTTAGCAGCATCACGGTAACTCACTTAGCACTACCACGGTAACTCACTTAGCAGCATCACGGTGACTCACTTAGCAGCATCACGGTGACTCACTTAGTACCACCACGATAACTCACTAAGCAAGACACCACGGTGACTCACTTAGCAGCATCACGGTGACTCACTTAGCAGCACCACGGTAACTCACTTAGCAGCACCACGGTAACTCACTTAGCAGCATCACAGTGACTCACTTAGCAGCATCACGGTGACTCACTTAGCAGCACCACGTTGACTCACTTAGCAGCATCACGGTGACTCACTTAGCAGCATGACGGTGACTCACTTAGCAGCACCACGGTAACTCACTTAGCAGCACCACGGTAACTCACTTAGCAGCACCACGGTGACTCACTTAGCAGCACCATGTTGACTCACTTAGCAGTATCACGGTGACTCACTTAGCAGCACCACGTTGACTCACTTAGCAGCATCACGGTGACTCACTTAGCAGCATCACGGTAACTCACTTAGCAGCATCACGGTGACTCACTTAGCAGCATCACGGTGACCCACTTAGTAGCATCACAGTAACTAACTTAGCAGCATCACGTTGACTCACTTAGCAGCATCACAGTGACTCACTTAGCGGCATCACGGTGACTTACTTAGCAGCACCACGTTGACTCACTTAGCAGCATCACGGTAACTCACTTAGCAGCACCACGGTAACTCACTTAGCAGCATCACGGTAACTCACTTAGCAGCACCACGATAACTCACTTAGCAGCATCACGTTGACTCACTTAGCAGCATCACAGTGACTCACTTAGCGGCATCATGGTGACTCACTTAGCGGCATCACGGTGACTTACTTAGCAGCACCACGGTAACTCACTTAGCAGCACCACGGTAACTCACTTAGCAGCACCACGTTGACTCACTTAGCGGCATCACGTTGACTCACTTAGCAGCACCACGGTATCTCACTTAGCAGCATCACGTTGACTCACTTAGCAGCATCACGTTGACTCACTTAGCAGCACCACGGTAACTCACTTAGCAGCATCACGGTAACGCACTTAGCATCACGGTAACGCACTTAGCAGCACCACGTTGACTCACTTAGCACCATGGTGACTCACTTAGCAGCACCACGTTGACTCACTTAGCACCACGTTGACTCACTTAGCAGCACCACGTTGACTCACTTAGCACCATGGTGACTCACTTAGCAGCACCACGTTGACTCACTTAGCAGCACCACGTTGACTCACTTAGCAGCACCACGGTAACTCACTTAGCAGCATCACGGTGACTCACTTAGCAGCACCACGGTGACTCACTTAGCACCACGTTGACTCACTTAGCAGCACCACGGTGACTCACTTAGCAGCACCACGTTGACTCACTTAGCAGCACCACGTTGACTCACTTAGCACCACGTTGACTCACTTAGCAGCACCACGGTGACTCACTTAGCAGCATCACGGTAACTCACTTAGCAGCATCACGTTGACTCACTTAGCACCATGGTGACTCACTTAGCAGCACCACGTTGACTCACTTAGCAGCACCACGTTGACTCACTTAGCACCACGGTAACTCACTTAGCAGCACCACGTTGATTCACTTAGCAGCACCACGTTGACTCACTTAGCAGCACCACGTTGACTCACTTAGCAGCATCACAGTAACTCACTTAGCAGCATCACGGTAACTCACTTAGCAGCATCACGGTGACTCACTTAGCAGCACCACGTTGACTCACTTAGCAGCACCACGTTGACTCACTTAGCAGCACCACGGTAACTCACTTAGCAGCATCACGTTGACTCACTTAGCAGCACCACGGTGACTCACTTAGCAGCACCACGGTAACTCACTTAGCAGCACCACGTTGACTCACTTAGCAGCACCACGTTGACTCACTTAGCAGCATCACGGTAACTCACTTAGCAGCACCACGTTGACTCACTTAGCAGCACCACGTTGACTCACTTAGCAGCACCACGTTGACTCACTTAGCAGCATCACGGTAACTCACTTAGCACCACGTTGACTCACTTAGCAGCACCACGTTGACTCACTTAGCAGCACCACGGTGACTCACTTAGCAGCACCACGGTGACTCACTTAGCAGCATCACGTTGACTCACTTAGCACCATGGTGACTCACTTAGCAGCACCACGTTGACTCACTTAGCACCATGGTGACTCACTTAGCAGCACCACGTTGACTCACTTAGCACCACGTTGACTCACTTAGCAGCACCACGGTCACTCACTTAGCAGCACCACGTTGACTCACTTAGCAGCACCACGTTGACTCACTTAGCAGCACGTTGACTCACTTAGCGGCATCACGTTGACTCACTTAGCAGCACCACGTTGACTCACTTAGCAGCACCACGGTAACTCACTTAGCAGCACCACGTTGACTCACTTAGCACCACATTGACTCACTTAGCGGCATCACGTTGACTCACTTAGCAGCACGTTGACTCACTTAGCTGCATCACGGTAACTCACTTAGCAGCATCACGGTAACTCACTTAGCAGCATCACGGTGACTCACTTAGCGGCATCACGGTAACTCACTTAGCACCATGGTGACTCACTTAGCACCATGGTGACTCACTTAGCGGCATCACGTTGACTCAATTAGCAGCACCACGGTAACTCACTTAGCAGCATCACGTTGACTCACTTAGCAGCACCACGTTGACTCACTTAGCAGCACCACGGTAACTCACTTAGCAGCACCACGTTGACTCACTTAGCACCACATTGACTCACTTAGCGGCATCACGTTGACTCACTTAGCAGCACGTTGACTCACTTAGCTGCATCACGGTAACTCACTTAGCAGCATCACGGTAACTCACTTAGCAGCATCACGGTGACTCACTTAGCGGCATCACGGTAACTCACTTAGCACCATGGTGACTCACTTAGCACCATGGTGACTCACTTAGCGGCATCACGTTGACTCAATTAGCAGCACCACGGTAACTCACTTAGCAGCATGACGGTGACTCACTTAGCAGCACCACGGTGACTCACTTAGCAACATCACGGTGACTCACTTAGCACCATGGTGACTCACTTAGCAGCACCACGGTAACTCACTTAGCAGCATCACGGTGACTCACTTAGCAGCATCACGTTGACTCACTTAGCAGCATCACGGTGACTCACTTAGCAGCACCACATTGACTCACTTAGCAGCATCACGGTAACTCACTTAGCAGCACCATGGTGACTCACTTAGCAGCATCACGGTGACTCACTTAGCAGCATCACGGTAACTCACTTAGCAGCATCATGGTGACTCACTTAGCAGCACCACAGTAACTCACTTAGCAGCATCACGGTAACTCACTTAGCAGCACCACATTGACTCACTTAGCAGCATCACGGTAACTCACTTAGCAGCATCACGGTGACTCACTTAGCAGCACCACGGTGACTCACTTAGCAGCACCACGGTGACTCACTTAGCAGCACCACGGTGACTCACTTAGCAGCACCACGGTGACTCACTTAGCAGCACCACGGTGACTCACTTAGCAGCATCACGGTGACTCACTTAGCAGCACCACGGTGACTCACTTAGCAGCACCACGTTGACTCACTTAGCAGCACCACGGTAACTCACTTAGCAGCACCACGGTAACTCACTTAGCAGCATCACGGTGACTCACTTAGCAGCACCACGTTGACTCACTTAGCAGCACCACGTTGACTCACTTAGCAGCACCACGTTGACTCACTTAGCAGCACCACGGTGACTCACTTAGCAGCACCACGTTGACTCACTTAGCAGCACCACGGTTACTCACTTAGCAGCACCACGGTGACTCACTTAGCAGCATCACGGTGACTCACTTAGCAGCACCACGGTAACTCACTTAGCAGCACCACGTTGACTCACTTAGCAGCATCACGTTGACTCACTTAGCAGCACCACGGTAACTCACTTAGCAGCATCACAGTGACTCACTTAGCAGCATCACGGTGACTCGCTTAGCAGCATCACAGTGACTCGCTTAGCAGCACCACGGTAACTCACTTAGCAGCACCACGGTGACTCACTTAGCAGCACCACGTTGACTCACTTAGCAGCACCACGTTGACTCACTTAGCAGCACCACGTTGACTCACTTAGCAGCACCACGTTGACTCACTTAGCAGCATCACGTTGACTCACTTAGCAGCACCACGGTAACTCACTTAGCAGCATCACAGTGACTCACTTAGCAGCATCACGGTGACTCACTTAGCAGCATCACAGTGACTCGCTTAGCAGCACCACGGTAACTCACTTAGCAGCACCACGGTGACTCACTTAGCAGCACCACGTTGACTCACTTAGCAGCACCACGTTGACTCACTTAGCAGCACCACGTTGACTCACTTAGCAACACCACGTTGACTCACTTAGCACCATGGTGACTCACTTAGCAGCACCACGTTGACTCACTTAGCAGCACCACGTTGACTCACTTAGCAGCACCACGGTAACTCACTTAGCAGCATCACGGTGACTCACTTAGCAGCACCACGGTGACTCACTTAGCACCACGTTGACTCACTTAGCAGCACCACGGTGACTCACTTAGCAGCACCACGTTGACTCACTTAGCAGCACCACGTTGACTCACTTAGCACCACGTTGACTCACTTAGCAGCACCACGGTGACTCACTTAGCAGCATCACGGTAACTCACTTAGCAGCATCACGTTGACTCACTTAGCACCATGGTGACTCACTTAGCAGCACCACGTTGACTCACTTAGCAGCACCACGTTGACTCACTTAGCACCACGGTAACTCACTTAGCAGCACCACGTTGATTCACTTAGCAGCACCACGTTGACTCACTTAGCAGCACCACGTTGACTCACTTAGCAGCATCACAGTAACTCACTTAGCAGCATCACGGTAACTCACTTAGCAGCATCACGGTGACTCACTTAGCAGCACCACGTTGACTCACTTAGCAGCACCACGTTGACTCACTTAGCAGCACCACGGTAACTCACTTAGCAGCACCACGTTGACTCACTTAGCAGCACCACGGTGACTCACTTAGCAGCACCACGGTAACTCACTTAGCAGCACCACGTTGACTCACTTAGCAGCACCACGTTGACTCACTTAGCAGCATCACGGTAACTCACTTAGCAGCACCACGTTGACTCACTTAGCAGCACCACGTTGACTCACTTAGCAGCACCACGTTGACTCACTTAGCAGCATCACGGTAATTCACTTAGCACCACGTTGACTCACTTAGCAGCACCACGTTGACTCACTTAGCAGCACCATGGTGACTCACTTAGCAGCACCACGGTGACTCACTTAGCAGCATCACGTTGACTCACTTAGCACCATGGTGACTCACTTAGCAGCACCACGTTGACTCACTTAGCACCATGGTGACTCACTTAGCAGCACCACGTTGACTCACTTAGCACCACGTTGACTCACTTAGCAGCACCACGGTCACTCACTTAGCAGCACCACGTTGACTCACTTAGCAGCACCACGTTGACTCACTTAGCAGCACGTTGACTCACTTAGCGGCATCACGTTGACTCACTTAGCAGCACCACGTTGACTCACTTAGCACCACATTGACTCACTTAGCAGCACCACGGTAACTCACTTAGCAGCACTACGTTGACTCACTTAGCACCACGTTGACTCACTTAGCGGCATCACGTTGACTCACTTAGCAGCACGTTGACTCACTTAGCTGCATCACGGTAACTCACTTAGCAGCATCACGGTAACTCACTTAGCAGCATCACGGTGACTCACTTAGCGGCATCACGGTAACTCACTTAGCACCATGGTGACTCACTTAGCGGCATCACGTTGACTCACTTAGCACCATGGTGACTCACTTAGCGGCATCACGTTGACTCAATTAGCAGCACCACGGTAACTCACTTAGCAGCATGACGGTGACTCACTTAGCAGCATCACGGTGACTCACTTAGCAGCACCACGTTGACTCACTTAGCACCACGGTGACTCCCTTAGCAGCATCACGGTGACTCACTTAGCAGCACCACGGTGACTCACTTAGCAGCATCACGGTGACTCACTTAGCAGCATCACGGTAACTCACTTAGCAGCATCACGGTGACTCACTTAGCACCATGGTGACTCACTTAGCAGCACCACGGTAACTCACTTAGCAGCATCACGGTGACTCACTTAGCAGCATCACGTTGACTCACTTAGCAGCATCACGGTGACTCACTTAGCAGCACCACATTGACTCACTTAGCAGCATCACGGTAACTCACTTAGCAGCACCATGGTGACTCACTTAGCAGCATCACGGTGACTCACTTAGCAGCATCACGGTAACTCACTTAGCAGCATCATGGTGACTCACTTAGCAGCACCACAGTAACTCACTTAGCAGCATCACGGTAACTCACTTAGCAGCACCACATTGACTCACTTAGCAGCATCACGGTAACTCACTTAGCAGCATCACGGTGACTCACTTAGCAGCACCACGGTGACTCACTTAGCAGCACCACGGTGACTCACTTAGCAGCACCACGGTGACTCACTTAGCAGCATCACGGTGACTCACTTAGCAGCACCACGGTGACTCACTTAGCAGCACCACGTTGACTCACTTAGCAGCACCACGGTAACTCACTTAGCAGCACCACGTTGACTCACTTAGCAGCACCACGTTGACTCACTTAGCACCACGTTGACTCACTTAGCGGCATCACGTTGACTCACTTAGCAGCACGTTGACTCACTTAGCTGCATCACGGTAACTCACTTAGCAGCATCACGGTAACTCACTTAGCAGCATCACGGTGACTCACTTAGCGGCATCACGGTAACTCACTTAGCACCATGGTGACTCACTTAGCGGCATCACGTTGACTCACTTAGCACCATGGTGACTCACTTAGCGGCATCACGTTGACTCAATTAGCAGCACCACGGTAACTCACTTAGCAGCATGACTGTGACTCACTTAGCAGCATCACGGTGACTCACTTAGCAGCACCACGTTGAATCACTTAGCACCACGGTGACTCACTTAGCAGCATCACAGTGACTCACTTAGCAGCACCACGGTGACTCACTTAGCAGCATCACGGTGACTCACTTAGCAGCATCACGGTAACTCACTTAGCAGCATCACGGTGACTCACTTAGCACCATGGTGACTCACTTAGCATCACCACGGTAACTCACTTAGCAGCATCACGGTGACTCACTTAGCAGCATCACGTTGACTCACTTAGCAGCATCACGGTGACTCACTTAGCAGCACCACATTGACTCACTTAGCAGCATCACGGTAACTCACTTAGCAGCACCATGGTGACTCACTTAGCAGCATCACGGTGACTCACTTAGCAGCATCACGGTAACTCACTTAGCAGCATCATGGTGACTCACTTAGCAGCACCACAGTAACTCACTTAGCAGCATCACGGTAACTCACTTAGCAGCACCACATTGACTCACTTAGCAGCATCACGGTAACTCACTTAGCAGCATCACGGTGACTCACTTAGCAGCACCACGGTGACTCACTTAGCAGCACCACGGTGACTCACTTAGCAGCACCACGGTGACTCACTTAGCAGCACCACGGTGACTCACTTAGCAGCATCACGGTGACTCACTTAGCAGCACCACGGTGACTCACTTAGCAGCACCACGGTGACTCACTTAGCAGCACCACGGTGACTCACTTAGCAGCATCACGGTGACTCACTTAGCAGCACCACGGTGACTCACTTAGCAGCACCACGTTGACTCACTTAGCAGCACCACGGTGACTCACTTAGCAGCACCACGGTGACTCACTTAGCAGCATCACGGTGACTCACTTAGCAGCACCACGGTAACTCACTTAGCAGCACCACGTTGACTCACTTAGCAGCATCACGTTGACTCACTTAGCAGCACCACGGTAACTCACTTAGCAGCATCACAGTGACTCACTTAGCAGCATCACGGTGACTCACTTAGCAGCATCACAGTGACTCGCTTAGCAGCACCACGGTAACTCACTTAGCAGCACCACGGTGACTCACTTAGCAGCACCACGTTGACTCACTTAGCAGCACCACGTTGACTCACTTAGCAGCACCACGTTGACTCACTTAGCAGCACCACGTTGACTCACTTAGCAGCACCACGTTGACTCACTTAGCAGCATCACGTTGACTCACTTAGCAGCACCACGGTAACTCACTTAGCAGCATCACAGTGACTCACTTAGCAGCATCACGGTGACTCACTTAGCAGCATCACAGTGACTCGGTTTAGCAGCACCACGGTAACTCACTTAGCAGCACCACGGTGACTCACTTAGCAGCACCACGTTGACTCGCTTAGCAGCACCACGTTGACTCACTTAGCAGCACCACGTTGACTCACTTAGCAGCACCACGTTGACTCACTTAGCAGCACCACGTTGACTCACTGACCAGCACCGCGGTAACCGCCCGTAACTCACCGAACGGCGTGGTGCAGGCAAGGCGGCGGCGGACGGCGTGGACGGCATGGAGATGGAGATGGAGCCGCTGAAGGGGGCGGAGAAGGGGGAGGGGGAGGGGGAGGAGGCGGCACGCAAGAAGAAGCCATCACCACCCAAGAAGGAGAAGTCGGTGCTGCAGGGGAAGCTCACCAAGCTCGCGGTGCAGATTGGCAAGGCCGGTGAGTTCGGGGGTGAAGAGGGAGATGGAGAGAGATGGGGGGCGATGGAGTGAGACAAGGAGACATGGGGAGACATGGGGAGACATGGGGAGACATGGGGGGAGACTGGGGAGAGATGGGCAGAGACTGGGAGAGATGGAGAGAGACTGGGAGAGATGGGGGGTGATGGAGAGAGACCGGGAGAGATTGTGAGATTCTGGAGAGACTGGGGGAGATGGGGGGAGGCTGGGAAAGATTGTGGGTGATAGAGCGATACTGGGAGAGATTGGGGGGAGCTGTAGAGAGACCAGGAGAGACGGAGGAGGATGGGTGGGAGACGGGGGGAGTTGGAGCGAGGCGGGGGGGAGAGGGGTTGGGGAGAGGGGGAGATGGGGGAGGGCGGAGAGATGGGGTGTTAGAGGGGGGAGATGGCGGGGGAGAGAGGGGAGTAGGGGGAGATGCCCGCCACAGTGAGTGGTGCGTTGGAGCCATGGGTGACTTGCCGGGGGTGGTGCGACGGCTGCGTCGTGAACCGCTCCTCACCGCCACGTAACCCCCCAACCCCCCACCACCGACCCCCACAACCGCACGCAGGTCTGGTGATGTCGGCCATCACCGTGGTGATCCTGGTGCTCTACTTCGTGATCGACACCTTCTGGGTGCAGGGCCGGCCCTGGCTGGCCGAGTGCACGCCGGTCTACGTGCAGTACTTCGTCAAGTTCTTCATCATCGGCGTCACCGTGCTCGTCGTGGCCGTGCCCGAGGGGCTGCCCCTTGCCGTCACCATCGCCCTCGCCTACTCCGTCAAGGTGCATTGTGGGAACCCGCAAAAGATGGGGGGGGGGGGGGGGGGGGGGATTTGGCGCTCGTGGTAAGGTGCATTGTGGGAGACTGAGAGTGGGCGGCATTGAGGTGCGTTGTGGGAAATGGGGTGCTGTACGCATTGAGGTGTATTGTGGGAGATGGAGAGAAGGGTGGCAGTGCTAGCGGTTAGGTGCACTGTGGGATACGGAGAGAGGCAGGGCTGCTCTAGCGGTGAGGTGCATTGTGGGAGGATGTGAGGGGAGGGTATGAGTGAGCATTCTCTGCGCATCGCCGTGACGACCGTCCCCGTTTGCGCCACCGCTGCTCCTCCTCCGCGTTGCCGTAACGACAGAAAATGATGAAGGACAACAACCTGGTGCGGCACCTGGACGCGTGCGAGACGATGGGCAACGCCACGGCCATCTGCTCTGACAAGACGGGGACGCTCACCACCAACCGCATGACGGCCGTGCAGGTCAGCCGCTAACCACCTCGCCCACCACCAAGCTCTTCACCACCACGCTCACCGCCGCCACCACGCTTACCACCACCACACTCACCACCAATCATAGGACGGCCATGCAGGCGAGCCTCGCTGACCACTATGCTCACCAATAACAACGACGGCCATGAAGTTATGGTGACTTCGCTACGGCGCTTGCGCCAGGCTGAGGCTATCTAACGTGTCGAAGGCTCACTGGCAGGAGGTCATGGGACAGACCCAGGTGCCATGGGGTTGACTGACTGAGATGACTGGTAAATGCACCACCTGTGCCCCCTACTGTGACAACTGCATTTTAGCCACCCTGCGCTCCGCTCATTGTTGTGAAAGTCGCTCCTCTGCCCTCCGTTGTTGTTGGAGGGCGACTGCCTCCAACTGTTCAGTAGCGTCCTTCACGAGCCTCCTCCACAGAGGCCAATCTTTACACCGCTGGTACCGGTCATCGGCAAGTCCACTCAGCTCCACATCCTCCTGTACCGCATCACTCGATCTCTTCTCTAGGTCATGCCGTGCCCATTTAGCTCCCTCTGTCCAGCCAAACAGAAGTTGCTTAGGCACGCGGGCTACATGACCCAGACAACGCAGCATCGTCTACCAGGGTAGCTCACTGATGGAGCTGTAAGCTCCTCACACAATCTAATTTGGTAAACCTAGGATGGATCATAGGTAGGACAGCCTGTAGGTTTCAAACCAGTGCAGATGTCCCTTTAGGGGGGTCCACGTTTTGCACGCATAGAGAAGGTAGGACATGACTGTGACCAAGAAGACCCACCCGAAGCTTTGTGCGGAACGACAGACCAGGCAGCTTCCACATAGCAGCGTTACGCAGCCGATGAACAGATAATGCCGCTCGACTGATTCGGAGTGAGACCTTGGCTGCCAAACCGGAGCTGGTCATAAGCACATTGCCCAGGTACCAAAGCCTCTTCACTCTCTCCACAACTGCGCCATAACTCGTGGGGAGTGCGGTGACATAAAATATCCAGACAGGCTCTTTGTTTTTGTCGGACTGATGGTAAGGCCCCTTCTCTTAGTAGTGTGCAGCAGTAGCATCTCCAACTCCTTCTCGGAATGGGCAGCAATTTTCAGATCATGTACATGCATAACATGGTTGACCAACAGGGTGCCATCTCTTGCCAGCCTGAAAACATCCTCTATTATCCAAGGTTTCTGGGGAAGTCTGGACCTCATCCATGTGTGTGTATGTGTGTCTATGTGTGTGTACGTGTGTGTGCATGTGTGTACGTGTGTGTACGTGTGTATGCTAAGGGGATGTGACCCAGTGGTCAGTGCGCTGCGCTACGAACCCGGTGACCCGCATTCGATTCCCGCTCACGGCCAACACCAGTTATCATTATCTGAACCGGTCCTGGGCCTCCCCTAGATCGACTCGGCCTAAAACGAGTACCTGGTGCGGTGTGTAAACATCGCCACTAGGGAGACAAAGGCGGTCTGGCGTGGTGCTGGCCACCCACCCCCTCATGTGCCGTGCCGGCCTTCATAGGTGCTTGCTAAAAGCACTTGCCCCTACAGTCTATACGGGGAATCTTTGTGTAACCATGTATACGTGTGCGTGTGTGTCTGTACGTGTGTATGTGTACGTGTGTGTGTGTGTATGTACATGTGTGTGTGTATACATGTGGGCGCACTTGTGTGTACATGTGCCTGCGTGTGTGTGTGTCTTAACGTGTGTTTGTGTGCGTGTATGTGTGTGTCTACGTGTGTACATGTGGGCGTGCTTGTGTGTGTATGTGTGTACATGTGTGTGTGTTTACGTGTGTGTGTACGTGTGTGTCTACGTGTGTACATGTGGGCGTGTGTGTGCGTGTGTGCGTGTTTACGTGTTTACGTGTGTGTGTACATGTGTGTGTGTACGTGTGTGTGTGTGTGTGTTCATGTCTGTACGTGCGTGCAGCTGTTTATTGGGGGCAAGCACCACAAGAAGATCCCCGCTGCGGAGGAGGTGGCGGCGTCCACGCTGGACACGCTAACCACCGGCGTGGCCGTCAACTCGGCCTACACCACCAAGATCCTGGTGCTGCTGCTGCTCCTCACTCACTCACTCGCTCACTCCACCTCCACATCCCTCACTCTCTCCCTAGATCCCTCACTCTCTTCCTACATCCCTCACTCACTCCCTCCCTCACTCATTCACTCGCTCGCTCGCTCACTTGCTCACTCACTCCATTTCTCCCTCACTCACTCCCTCACTTCCACATTCACTCACTCCAGATCTCCCTCACTCACTCACTTTCTCACTTAGTCACTCACTCACTCCATCCCTCACTTGCTCACTTGCTCACTCACTCCATGCCTCACCTACTCTCTCCCTCGCTCACTCCCTCACTCACTCCACATTCACTCACTCCCGACATCACTCCCTCACTCACTCAGTTACTCCCTCACTCAGTCACTCACTCCATTCCTCACTCGCTCACTCGCTCACTCAATTCATGCCTCACTCACTCCCTCATTACAACACCCACCCATCTTTCCATCGCTTCGACTCCCTCCATCCAATCTCCCCACCTTCACTCTCCCCCAAATCCCTCTCCCCGCTCTCCCCCCCCTCAGCCCCCCGAGCGCGAAGGGGGGCTGCCGCGGCAGGTGGGTAACAAGACGGAGTGCTCGCTGCTGGGGCTGCTGCTGGAGCTGAAGCGAGACTACCAGGCGGTGCGGGACGAGGTGACGGAGGAGCACCTCTTCAAGGTCTACACCTTTAACTCGGCACGCAAGTCCATGAGCACCGTCCTGCGCACGCCCGAAGGGGGATACCGCCTCTACAGCAAGGGGGCGTCCGAGATCCTCCTCAAGAAGTGAGCCATCACCTTCTGCTCCTCCTGCCCTTCACACCTCCTCACACATCCTCATCCCCCATCCACACACCATCACCCACTCCTCTTCCATCATCGTCTAATACAGCGGTCCACAAACTTTTTGGCACCAGGGACCGGTTTCGTGGAAGACAATTTTTTCACGGACCGGTGGAGCGGGGGTGGGGGGGTCATCATTGGGCCTTTCCCCCTTATCAAAGAAGCTCTGCAGCGACGTTTGTTTTTTTTATTCATTGTGGCTACTCGGGGTTAGAGCTCTCCTGCTGCTGCGCGGCCCGGTTCCTAACAGGCCACGGACCGGTACCGGTCCGCGGCTAGATGCACACAGATTGCCATCGTCACACTCCCATCACCATCGCCTCCACCATCACCTAACACACTCTCCCCCGTTTCCTCTCGGCGGCGGTGCCCGGCTAGGTGCACGCAGATCCTGGACGCGAGTGGCGCCCCGGGCCCGTTCAAGGCGCGCGAGCGCGAGGAGATGGCTCGCCGCGTCATCGAGCCCATGGCCAACGACGGCCTGCGCACCATCTGCCTGGCGCTCCGCGACTTCCCGCAGGGGACCGAGCCCAGCTGGGACGACGAGGCGTCCATTGTCTGCGAGCTCACCTGCGTGGCCGTCGTCGGCATCGAGGACCCCGTGCGCCCAGAGGTGACTGCCGCAGAAGCCGCCGCAACCCCACCTCTCCGCGAGCCGCTCATTGTCAACCATCCCCACCCACCCTACCACCCGCTCCACCCGCTCCACCCGCTCACCCGCCCATCCGCTCACCCATCCACCCTCTCACCTACCCGCTCGCCCACCCACCTTCCGTTCCACCAACTCACACACCCACCCGCCCACCCACCCGCTGACCCACTTACCAATCCACGGACCCGCCCGCACCCTCCGTCCCGTGCCAGGTGCCGGACGCGATTCGGAAGTGCCAGCGTGCGGGCATCACGGTGCGCATGGTGACGGGCGACAACATCAACACGGCGCGCGCCATCGCCAGCAAATGCGGCATCCTGGCGCCCGGCGAGGACTTCCTGTGTATCGAGGGCAAGGACTTCAACCGGCGAATCCGCAACGAGCGCGGGGAGGTGGGCGGGGGGGGGTGGGGGGTGGGGGGTAAGGCCGAAGGGGGGGCGGGGGGGGAGACAGGAGCTCGCTGGGGTGCTGGGGGTGGTGTCTGACGAGCAGGCCGGATTGTGTGAGGAGCTCACAGATCCTTGAAAGATCTGGACACAGTCTCATCGGTGAGCTCCTCCGGCAGGCAAGGCTGCATTGGCTGTGTCATGTAGCCCACATGCCCAGCCACCGCATGCCCAAGCAGCTATTGTTTGGCCGGATAGAGGGGCTAAACGGACGTGACTCAGCCTAGAGAAGAGATGGAGTGATATTGTCCAGGAGGATGCGGTTCTGAGTGGACTTGCTGATGACCGGTACAAGCAGTGTCAAGATCGGCCTCTGTGGAGGAGGCGGCTCATGAAGGACGCTACTGGGTAGTTGGACGCAGTCGCCCTCCAGCAACAACGGAGAGCGGAGGAGTGACGCTCACAACAACGAGCGGAGCGCCGGGTGGCTAAGATGCGGCAAAGTTGGCACAGTAGGGGGCACAGGTGGTGCATCGGTCAGTCATCTCAGTCGGTCAACCCATGGCACCTGGGTCTGCCCCGTGACCTCCTGCCAGCGAGCCTTGGGACACTTCATGTGGCCTCAAAGTGCATCTAGCATAATCGAATGGCGGCTGTTGTGAGCGTGAGGGTGTGGGGTGCCCCAACAGACTGTTAAGTCCATACGGGGGATCTTTGTCTTTGTGTCTCAGATTGAGCAGGAGCGCCTAGACAAGGTGTGGCCCAAGTTACGCGTTCTGGCGCGGTCCTCGCCCACGGACAAACACACACTCGTCAAGGGTATGCAGCTACACATACACGGCTACACACACACACGCACCTACACACAGCTATACACACACACGGCTACACACAGCTACACACACACGGCCACACACACGGCTACACACACAAACTCGCACACACAGCTGTCCGTTATACTCACGCTGTGTGTAGCGCTGATGCGGTTGTGTTGGTGCCGGTTGTGGTGATGTGGTTACCGTGGCGACAGGGATCATCGACAGCCAGACCGGGGAGCGGCGCCAGGTGGTGGCGGTAACCGGGGATGGCACCAATGACGGCCCCGCACTCAAGAAGGCCGACGTCGGCTTCGCAATGGTGACCACCGCACACACGCACACACGCACATACATACACACAACAACAACCGCCATTCGCCACTAAGTGGCGGTGACGTCACCACGATGCTTGTGCCAGGCTATGTGCACCCTGAGGCCACGTGAAGTGTCGAACGCCCGCTGGCAGGAGGTCACGGGGCAGACCCAGGTGCCACGGGTCGACTGACTGAGATGACTGGCTGATGCACCACCTGTGCCCCCTACTGTGCCAACCTGCTGTGCTTTAGCCACCCGGCGCTCCGCTCGTTGTTCTGAGCGTCGCTCCTCCGCCCTCCGTTGTTGGAGGGCGACTGCCTCCAACTGCCCAGTACCATCCTTCACGAGCCTCCTCCACAGAGGCCGATCTTGACACCGCTGGTACCAGTCATCGGCAAGTCCACCCAGCTCCACGTCCTCCTGTACCACATCACTCCATCTCTTCTCTAGTCCGTGCCGCGCCCGCTTTGCCCCCTCAATCCGGCCGAACAAAAGCTGTTTCGGCATGCGGTGGCTGGGCATGCGGGCTACATGACCCAGCCATCGCAGCCTTGCCCGCCGGAGGAGCTCACCGATGGGACCTTGCCCAGATCTTTCAAGGATTTGTGAGCTCCTCACACAATCCAGTCTGGTTAAACCCAGGATGGATCGTAGGCAGGCCAGCCTAAATGTTTCTAACCGGCGAAGATGTTCCATTAGGGGGGTCCACGTTTCGCAAGCGTAGAGAAGGGAGGGAATGACCGTGGCCGAGAAGACCTGAAGCTTAGTGCGGAGCGACAGACCAGGTAGCTTCCACACAGCGTTATGCAACCGATGAAAAGATATTGCTGCTCGACTGATTCGGAGTGAGACCTCTGCTGTTAAACTGGAGCCAGTCATAAGCACACTGCCCAGGTATGGGAAACTCTCCCCTCTCTCCACAACTGCCCCATCACCGATTGGGAGTTGTGGGGGTGGAGTGTCCGATGGTACAAAATACCCAGGCAGGTGCTTAGTTTTGGTGGGGCTGATGGTAAGGCCCCACCTCTTAGTGGCACGCTCCAGTCTCAGCAGCAGCGTCTCCAACTCCTCCTATGACTGAGCAACTATTACCAAATCATCAGCATACATAATGTGGCTGAGCAATAGGGAGCCATCCCTTGACCGCACCCGGGCATCGATCAGCCTCCCATTATATCTGTACCATATGGAGATTCCCCCGGTACAGCTATTGAAGGCTTCACGAACTACGTGGTCAAAATAGATGTTAAATAATGTGGGAGCCAGAGGACATCCCTGTCGCACCCCAAGGTGTACAGGGAATGGCTCTGACTTCCGGCCACGTAGTTTTACCCGGGCCCGCTCACCATCATGAAGGTCCTTAATGATCGAGCAGATGGTCAGGGACTCCAAAAGCACGAAGAACAACCCAGAGCCCAGGCCTACTGATGGTATCATAGGCCTTGACCAGGTCAATAAAGCAGAGATGTAGGTCTTGTTGGAATTCCCTACACCTCTGCTGTAGCAGACGAACAGAAAAATACATACACACACATACACACGCACATACACACCCGTGCACACACAGCTACAACAACAACAACGACCGCCGTTCGCCACTAAGTGGCGGTGACGTCACCACGACGCTTGTGCCAGGTGATGTGCACAGCTACACACAAAAAAAGACAAAGATCCCCCATATAGCCTTAACAGACTGTAGGGGCAAGTGCTGTTAGCGAGCACCTATGAAGGCCGGAACGGTACACGAGGGGGTGGGTGGCCAGCACCACGCCCGACCGCCTTTGTCTCCCTGGTGGCAATGTTTACACACCGCACCAGGTACTCATTTTGAGGCTGAGTCGACCTAGGGGAGGCCCGGGACCGGTTCAGATAATCGTCACTGGTGTTGGCCGTGAGCGGGAATCGAACCCGGGTCGCCAGGTTCATAGCGCAGCGCGCTAACCGCTACACTATCGCTCCCCACAACAGCACACACACCCACACACGCACACACACCCGCATAGCTACACACACACGTGCACACAAGCACACACGCACACATATACACTCGCACATACACACAGCTACACACACCACACACACACCACACACACACGGTATGCACACACACGGTATGCACACACGCACCGCACGCACACACATTAACTTGCTCAATCACTCTCTCACCCATTCACCCAATTGCTCACTCGCTCACATGTCTGTATACAAACTCGCTCATGCACTCACTCACGCACACACTCACTCAATCACCCACTCACTCAATCGCCTACTCACTCATCCACTGACTCATTCACCTATTTACCCAATGAATCGCGTACTCGCTCACTCCCTCATTTATAAACAACCTCACTCTCCCTTTCTCTCACTCACGTCTGTCTACCAACTCACTCGCTTGCTCAATCATTCACACAATCGCCCACTCAATCACCCACTCGCTCACCCACTCGCTCACCCACTCGCTCACCCACTCGCTCACTCACTCGCTCATCCACTCGCTCACCCACTCACTCGCCCACCCACCCACTCACTTGCTCGCCCACTCACTCACGCATCTACTCGCTCACCCACTCGCTCGCCCCCTGACCCACTCATCCACTCTCTTGTTCGTTCTCACCCACTCGCCGGCTCGTCCACTCCGCAGGGCATTGCGGGCACGGATGTAGCCAAGGAGGCGTCGGACATCATCCTGACGGACGACAACTTCAGCTCCATCGTGAAGGCGGTGATGTGGGGGCGCAACGTCTACGACAGCATATCCAAGTTCCTGCAGTTCCAGCTCACGGTCAACGTGGTGGCCGTCATCGTCGCCTTCACCGGGGCCTGCATCACGCAGGTTGGGGCGGGGTGGGGGGGGCTCCGTGCTGCACTCACTACAACTACTACTACTGCTGCTACAAAGACTATTACTGCTGCTACTGCTACAGATACCACCACTACTGCTGCTACAGAGACTATTACTGCTGCTACAGATACCACCACTACTGCTGCTACAGACACCACCACTACTGCTGCTACAGACACTAGTATTGCTGCTACTGCTACAGATACCACCACTATTGCTGCTACAGAGACTAGTATTGCTGCTACTGCTACAGATACCACTACTACTGCTGTTACAGAGACTATTACTGCTGCTACTACTACGGACACCACTACTACTGCTGCTACAGAGACTGTTGCTGCTGCTACAGATACCACCACTACTGCTGCTACCGAGACTAGTATTGCTGCTACTGCTACAGATACCACCACTACTGCTGCTACAGAGACTTGCTGCTGCTACAGATACCACCATTACTGCTGCTACAGAGACTAGTATTGCTGCTACAGATACCACTACTACTGCTGCTACAGAGACTATTACTGCTGCTACTGCTACGGATACCACTGCTACTGCTGCTACAGAGACTTGCTGCTGCTACAGATACCACCACTACTGCTGCACAGAGACTATTACTGCTGCTACTGCTACGGATACCACTACTACTGCTGCTACAGAGACTAGTATTGCTGCTACTGCTACAGATACCACTACTACTGCTCCTACAGAGACTACTACTACTGCTACATATACTACTACTACTGCTACAGATACTACTACTGCTGCTACAGATACCACTACTACTGCTGCTACAGAGACTACTACTACTGCTACAGATACCACTACTACTGCCGCTCAGAGACTACTACTACTGCTACAGATACCACTACTACTGCCGCTACAGAGACTACTACTACTACTACTGCTACAGATACCACTACTACTGCTTCTACAGAGACTACTACTGCTGCTACAGATACAACTCCTGCTGCTACAGATACCACTACTACTGCTGCTACAGATACCACTACTACTGCTGCTACAGATACCACTACTACTGCCGCTACAGAGACTATTGCTGCTGCTACAGATACCACTACTACTGCTGCTACAGAGACTATTACTGCTGCTACAGACACCACCACTACTGCTGCTACAGAGACTAGTATTGCTGCTACTGCTACAGATACCACCACTACTGCTGCTACAGAGACTAGTATTGCTGCTACTGCTACAGATACCACTACTACTGCTGCTACAGAGACTAGTATTGCTGCTACTGCTACAGATACCACCACTACTGCTGCTACAGAGACTAGTATTGCTGCTACTGCTACAGATACCACTACTACTGCCGCTACAGAGACTACTACTACTGCTACAGATACGGCTCCTGCTGCTACAGATACCACTCCTGCTGCTACAGATACCACTACTACTGCTGCTACAGATACCACTACTACTGCTGCTACAGAGACTACTTCTACTGCTGCTACAGAGACTAGTATTGCTGCTACTGCTACAGATACCACCACTACTGCTGCTACAGAGACTATTACTACTGCTACAGATACGACTCCTGCTGCTACAGATACCACTCCTGCTGCTACAGATACCACTACTACTGCTGCTACAGATACCACTACTACTGCTGCTACAGAGACCACTTCTACTGCTGCTACAGAGACTAGTATTGCTGCTACTGCTACAGATAGCACTACTACTGCTGCTACAGAGACTACTTCTGCTGCTGCAACTGAAACTTGCACCCACCTCTCTGCTCTCTGCCCACTCCCCCCTGCCTCTATCCCCCCCACCGTCCCGGTGTTCGTGCCCAGGACTCCCCGCTGAAGGCGGTGCAGATGCTGTGGGTGAACCTCATCATGGACACGCTGGCGTCGTTAGCGCTCGCCACGGAGCCGCCCACCGAGGCGCTGCTCCTGCGCCGGCCGTACGGCCGCAACAAGCCGCTCATCTCGCGCACCATGATGAAGAACATCCTGGGCCACGCCGTTTACCAGCTCACTGTCATCTTCACGCTGCTCTTTGCCGGTGAGACGGCCGGGCCTGCAGAGAGCGGCGGCGATAGTAGCGGTATTAGTAGTTGTAGCAGTGGTAGTAGTAGCGGTAGCGGTAGTAGCAGTGGTAGTAGTCGCGGTTGTAGTAGTAGTAGTAGCGGTGGTAGTAGCAGTAGTAGTAGTAGCGGTATTAGTAGTGGTAGTAGCAGTGGTAGTAGCAGTGGCAGTAGCAGTTGGAGTCGTAGCGGTAGTAGCAGCAGTAGCAGCAACAGTGGTGTCAGTAGTAGTAGCAGCGGTATCAGCAATAGTAGTAATAGTGGCAGTCGTAGTAGCGACAGTGGCAGTCGTAGTAGTAGTGGCGGCAGTAGTAGTAGCGGTGGTAGTAGCAGTTGTAGCCGTAGCGGTAGTAGTAATGGCGGTAGTAGTAGAGGCGGTAGTTGTAGCAATAGTAGTTTCAGCAGTCGTAGTAATGGTAGTGGCGCTAGTAGTAGTGGCGATAGGAGTAGAAGTGGCAGTCGTAGTAGTAGTGGCGGTAGTAGTAGTAGTAGTGGCAGTAGTAGTAGTGGCAGTAGTGGCAGTAGTAGTAGCGGCAATAGTAGCGGTAGTAGTAGCGACAGTAGTAGTGGCGGTAGTAGTAGTAGCGGTAGTAGTAGCGGCAGTAGTAGTAGTAGCGGCAGTAGTAGTAGTAGTGGTAGTAGTAGTAGTAGCGGCAGTAGTAGTAGTAGTGGTAGTAGTAGTAGTAGCGGCAGTAGTAGTAGTAGTAGCGACAGTAGTAGTAGTGACAGTAGTAGTAGTGGCGGTAGTAGTAGTAGCAGTAGTAGTAGCGGCAGTAGTAGTAGTAGCGGTAGTAGTAGTGGCAGCGGTAGTGGTAGTTGCGGTAGTAGTAGCATCGGTAGTAGTACTAGTGATAGTAGTACTAGTAGAGAGTGGGGGGGGGGGGGAGAGAGAGTGGTGGGGGGGAGAGAGTGGGGGGGGGGGAGAGAGTGGGGGGGGGGGAGAGAGAGTGGTGGGGGGAGAGAGTGTTGTGGGTGGGGGGGATATAGTGGGGGGGGTGTGCAGAGTGTGATAGCAGCACACTCTGCACCCCCCCGGGGGCTCCACGACCGTCACTCGTCCCCCGCGGCACCCTCCCCCCCGCGTGCCCCCCAGGCGAGTTGATAATGGACGTGGACAACGGGCGCAATGCCCCGCTGCACGCGCCGCCCTCGGAGCACTACACCGTGGTGTTCAACGCCTTCGTCATGATGCAGCTCTTCAACGAGATCAACGCGCGCAAGATCCACGGCGAGCGTAACGTCTTCCACGGAGTCTTCCGCAACCCCATCTTCTGCTCCATCGTGCTGGGGACATTCATCCTGCAGGTAGGCGCCCCCTGGAGGGGGATGGGGGGGGGGGGGGCGTCGGGGAGGGGGTGGGCCCGGTGGGGAGTGTCGGGGTACCCCCCTCTTCCCGTCTGCACCCCTCCAGAAGTTCAGCTGGTGGCAGGGCCCGTCCCCGGTTAACGCTGCGGGGGTGCCACGCTAGGAGATGTTGACTACCTCGCCTGGTAGGCAGGAGGTCGTGGGTTCGATCCCGACCCTGACGCCTGCCGTATATTTGGAGTTTGCGTGTCTCTCTCTCCCTGTGGTCGCGTGGATTTCTCTCCGGGTCCTCTGGTTTTTCCCTCCACATTTGGAACCAACATCACGCATTTCGAGTATCTGGCCAACCCATATACATGTCACCGTGATGAAGATGATAAACCAGCGCTTCATTCAGCTATCATTTGTGATAGGCAGGTCGCTTCTGAAAAAGAGCTACGCAGTAGCTCATTTGGGGGCCTTCCTACCTGGGTAAAAATAACAAAACAGTTTCTAGTTTGGTTTAGCGTCACCTTGTGGCCACACAGGGACAGCTGCCCCTGTGTTTGCCCCCTGGCGGTGGGGTGAGGAGCGAGCCGCTGCCTCCCCCCGCCCCCCCAGTGTGCAGGAGGAGGGGGGGGAGCCAACTCACACGCAATGGTGGTGGTGGTGGTGGTTGTGCCAAGTGTGGCGGTGCGGGTGTTGTGATTGTTGTGGCACGCGTGGTGGTGTGGTTGTTGCGGTGGTTGTGACACGCGTGGTGATGTGTTGTGGTTATTTTGACACTGTTGTGGTTGTGGTGGTTGCGGCGTGTATTGTGGTGGTTGTGGCAATTGTGCAGATAATGATCGTGCAGTTTGGAGGGAAGCCGTTTAGCTGCACGGGCCTGTCGCTGGAGCATTGGCTCTGGTGCGTCTTCCTGGGCCTTGGGGAGCTGCTCTGGGGACAGGTAAGCTCTGCACGCCACCTCCCCTCGACTCCCCCGTGTCTCCCCGAGCGTCTCCCCGAGCGTCTCCCCGAATCTCCCTCATACCCTCTCCACCACTACTCCCCACCACTCCCCACCCATGTAGTCCACTCTGTGTATCTCCCCCTTGGTGTATCAGCTGATCCCATCTCACCGGTCCACTCTGTGCATCTCCCCCGTGGCGGTACAGCTGATCGCGTCGATCCCGTCTCACCGGCTCAAGTTCCTACGCGAGGCTGGGAAGGGCTCCACGGAGGAGGAGCAGCGGCCGGGCGAGGAGGACGAGGAGGAGATCGACCACGCAGAGCGCGAGCTGCGGCGCGGACAGATCCTCTGGTTCCGTGGCCTCAACCGCATCCAGACTCAGGTGCTGCATTGGTGTTTGCATGTGTGCACCTGCGTACGTGCGTACGCACGCGTGTGTGTGTGTGTACGCTTGTGTGTGTGCGCGTGTGTGTGTGTGCGAGTGTGTACTGGTGTGCACACGCGTGTGCGAGTGTGTACTGGTGTGCACACGCATGTGCGAGTGTGTACCGGTGTACACACTCGTGTGTGTACATGTGTACGCTTGTGTTCATGTGTGAGTACATGTGTATACAAGTGTATACTTGCCTGTCTGTACACGTGTACACGTGTGTGTACCTGTATGTATGCTTAACTTCTTTCGCACCGTACATAGCCAACCGTACTAATCGGAGGTGCGATTATCACGGTTCCATCCAAGTGTGGTCACTTGGACACAAACACAACCACCATCTCCTTGGTGGTACCGGTCGGTGACATTGCCGTGGCTGTGAGCAATGACATTGGGGGGGAGTGGGGGGGGCGATACCAATCAGCTGTTCCCCACACGGTGCACACAGCCGCCACGGTGGCCAATGGGGGCTCTGGATGGGTGACGAGGGGCTGGTTACCCTCTCCACCTTCAACTCAATCATCAAACACCCACAAATCTTTCTCTTATATATACAAAGTCTCTGCGCGCGCGCTTGCGAGGGATTTGGCTCTCGAACGGTGGGGTTTACGCGGAAATTGTTTTGCCAGCCAGCACGCCCTAAGCCCCGCGGTGGGAATAGGCTATTCCTTTTTCACGTCCGTCACCTTTAAATTAGTTAAATTAGCGTTTTTGAAAGATTGTGTAAAATTTAATGATTTAGTTTTTTCTGTTATTAATTTACTTCCCTTTGCCGCGCGCTGGGTGACAACGCAGCCAGCTGCACTTGCGCACAGCGCCCACTAGCTTACCCCCTAGCAATCCACACGCGCCATCGCCCAAGGTAAGTCGCACACTTTTGTATTATATGCATTTCTGTAAGACGTAAGTCGCACAAATTAGTCTTATAAGCATTTATCTCATTACACTTTGCACTGCTCACATGGGTTGCCCCTAGCAACGCACGATCGGCACTAATTTTAATTCGCCTTACACATGCAGCAAAACACACGAAACACGTAAATTCTTCACAGTACGATGTCCTCTTCTCCCCACTCCACCCCAATGATACCCCAATGCGTCCCGAAACTACTATAGAGCCCCTACATATCATTATTATAGCGCTTACATGCCATTATTGTCGCGTGGCCGGGGCGAGCGGCGCAGCCCCCAGCATGCCAAGGTCACACCTCGGCGGGCTGGGAAATCTAGGCGAGGCCAGGGGCTCTGCACGGGACTAGGCCTCACCATGGCACTCTGTCTGCTTACTACTTTGTGCTATAGATTCGATATATATACAGTCAGCATGTACTACTGTAGTGCTAGCAGTTACCATCACAGTCACCATGCACTGCTGTAATCATAGCAGGTTACACGACAGTATGCACCGCTGTAGTAAAAGCAGCTACCACCACACTATGCTCTGCTGTCATCATAGCAGCTACCACCACAGTCAGTATGCACTGCTGTAGTGAAAGCAGGTACCACCACTGTCGCTTGCACTGCTGTAATCAAAGCAGGTACCACCACTGTCACTTGCCCTGCTGTAATCAAAGCAGGTTATACGACAGTATGCACTGCTGTAGTCAAAGCAGCTACCACCACACTATGCTCAGCTGTCATCATAGCAGCTACCACCACAGTCAGTATGCACTACTGTAGTGAAAGCAGGTACCACCACGATCAGTATGCACTGCTGTAGTGATAGTGCATATCATCGATGTCTGTGTGCTTACGTTGATGTGTGCGTGATGTGCGTATGTAGACAACTACTATCTTTAAATTAGGTTACTTATTTTCACAATTATAATGCCTGCGTCTAAGTCCATGTGTGCGTGCGTGTGGGTCGATGTGCGTGTCTGCGGCCATGTGTGTGTGTAAGTCGATGTGTCTGTGTGTGTGAGTCAATATGTGTGTTTGTGTCAGTCCATGTGTCTGTGTGTCAGACTCGATATGTCTGTGTGTTGGTGTCAGTCGGTGTGCGTGTGTGTTAGTCGCTGTGTGTGCGTGGCTCCATGTGAGTCAGTGTAAGTCCATTTCTTTGTGTGTGTGTTTTGGTCCATGTGTGCGTGCGAGTCCATGTGTGTGTGTCTGTACGTAGTGGGGAGCGGTAGTGTAGCGGTTAGCGCGCCGCGCTATGAACCTGGTGACCCGGGTTCGATTCCCGCTCACGGCCAACAGCGGTGACGATTATCTGAACCGGTCCCGGGCCTCCCCTAGGTCGACTCAGCCTCAAATGAGTACCTGGTGCGGTGTGTAAACATTGCCACTTGGGAGACAAAGGCGGTCGGGCGTGGTGCTGGCCACCCACCCCCTCGTGTACCGATCCGGCCTTCATAGGTGCTCGCTAACAGCACTTGCCCCTACAGTCTGTTAATGCTATATGGGGGATCTTTGTCTTTGTAAGTTCATATGTGTGTGTGTGTGAGTCTATGTATGTTTGTGCGTGGGTCCATGTGTGTGTTTGTGTAGGTCAATGTGTGTGTGAGTCTATGTACCGTCCGACACTCCACCCCCACAACTCCCAATTGGTGATGAGGCAGTTGTGGAGAGAGTGGAGAGTTTCCCATACCTTGGCAGTGTGCTAATGACCAGCTTCGGTTTAACAGCAGAGGTCTCACCCTGAATCAGTCGAGCGGCAATATCTTTTCATCGGTTGCGTAACGCTGTGTGGAAGCTACCTGGTCTATCACTCCGCATGAAGCTTCAGGTCTTCTCGGCCATGGTCAGTCCCTCCCTTCTATGCGCTTGCGAAACTTGGACCCCCCTAATGGAATATCTTCGCCGGTTAGAAACATTTAGGATGGCCTGCCTATGATCCATCCTGGGTTTAACCAGGCTGCATTGTGTGAGGAGCTCACAAATCCTTGAAAGATGTGGACAGAGTCCCATCGGTGAGCTCCTCCGGCAGGCAAGGCTGCGTTGGCTGAGTCATGTAGCCCGCATGCCCAGCCACCGCATGCCTAAACAACTTTTGTTCGGCCGGATCGAACGGGCACGGCACGGGCTAGAGAAGACATGGAGTGATGTGGTACAGGAGGATGTGGAGATGAGTGAACTTGCTGATGACTGGTACCAGTGGTGTCAAGATCGGCCTCTGTGGAGGAGGCTTGTGAAAAAGACGCTACTGGGCAGTTGGAGACAGTTGCCCTCCAACAACAACGGAGGGCGGTGGAGCGATACTCACAACAACGAGTGGAGCGCCGGGTGGCTAAAGCACAGCAAGTTGCCACAGTAGGGGGCACAGGTGGTGTATCGGCCAGTCGTCTCAGTCGGTCGACCTGTGCCATCTGGGTCTGCCCCGTGACCTCCTGCCAGCGGGCGTTTGACACTTCACCTGGCCTCAAGGTGCACATAGCCTGGCACAAGCGTCGTGGTGACGTCACCGCCACTTAGTGGCGAATGGCGGTTGTTGTTCAGTCTATGCATGTATGTGTGAGTCGATATGTGTGTGTAAGTCAACGTGTGTGTGTCAGTCGATTTGTGTGTGTAACTACACGTGTGTGTCTAAAGTAGATGTCTGTGTGTGTGAGTCCATATGTGTGTGTGTGTGCGTGTAAGTCCACGTATTTATATGTGTGTGGGTCGATGTCTGTGTAAGTCCATGTGTGTGTCTGCCTTTTTCGCCCGGGCAACGCCGGGTACTTACCACTCATAAAATATCAAACTTTAGCTTGTGCGAGAGACCCCGGGGGAACAGGCGTCTATAACCGTGTCCTGGCCAAATCCCATTTGGTGGAGCCAGAGGCTTGAGGCCGCACCTTCGGGGTTCAAAGCCACTGCCGGTGGCCACGTGGAATGTTCGAACGCTCGCTGCGGAGGGGAGAGGCTGCCACTCGGGAGTTGGACCGGTACTGCCTGGACCTCTGGTTTAGGCAGTGGCTCTTCTTCTGAACAAGATTATTAAGGGGGGGGGGGGGGGGGGGGGGGGGGGGGGGGGGGTGGGGGGGATGTGAGAGGATGGGCGTTGAGGTGTGGAAAGCTGCGAGTCCCAGGCTATTGTGGGCTTGCCTCCCCCATCAACAGGAGGTAAGGAATGGTAGTTGTGGTGGTGGCTTACGTCCCCATCGAAGATGAACATCAGTGGAGTGTTTGAAGCTTTCGTGACTGCAAGGATCCATACTCTTTGGTTCTATTCGGTAAAGTCATGTAGGTAAAAATAAAATAACAAAAAATCACGACGTTTCGGCCACAACACAAGTGGCCTTCATCAGGTGAAGGGACTGGACTGTCCAGAGGACAGCGTTTGAGTGAAGACAGCAAGCCCAGGTCGCGTCCTTTAAGCTGTGTGGGAGGAAACAAAAAAACGCCTTGACAAAGGAATTATCATAACAATGATGTACTGGACCGGCACGGTGGGGGGGGAGGGGAGTTTACATAATGTTGGTGTGAAGGGAAATAAGCTGCTGTGAAAGTTTGGGATACCACTACTTGAATAAATATACTGTACCATTGAAAATTAGTTTAATGTTTGGTTTGATTTAGAACATCTTTCCAATGATTGCTTAATTTGAAACCATCCTCTCGGTTGAAATTACGTCTGTGTTTGTAAATCTGAATTGCCTCATGGACAAATCTCTGATAAAAACCCGTGAGTTTGCAGAGAACCTTGGTATCGGAGAAAACTATATCGTGATCACCCACAGCGTTGTAACAGTGATCAGCTACGGGGGAAGAATTCGTTCTGCCGTGTTTCAAATGTGATTTGTGCTCGCGAATTCGGTCAGAGACATGTCGTTTCGTCTCCCCGATATAGCAGTCACCACAGGTGCAGCTCAATTTGTAAACCCCGGGGTAATGTAAGTCAGGAACGACATCCTTCACGGATGGGATCAGGTCTAAACAAACACAAGATCCTGGTTCGGTTCAATACAGTACACAAAATCTGTGACCTGATCCCATCCGTGAAGGATGTCACTATCACTCACACACTC